GAGAAGCTGGTGCTGGATCCAGGGGCCTTCTGGACACAACTTCCAGGGCCTTCCAGTGAGATTCTCCCAACCCCCACCCACCCAGTCATCCCAGATAGCTGGGCTATGCCTGAGGGCTGCTCGGAAAGCCTGCTCAGCCTTCTGTCAGCATCTCCCATCCACCTCTCCCCAAATCTAAGCTGTTGCTGCTGGCATCCTGGGTGCCCTGAGGGCCTTCTCTTGGCCTCCCTGGCTCTGTTGCTCCCATTTGCCCCTGGCCTGGAGTCCTCTAGCTGCCCCAACTAGAACTGGGCTCACGTGATGGTCCTGTAGCAGGGGAGGCACCACAGCGGCTTTTAGTGCTGCTCAGGCCTCAGGGCATTTGGTCCAAGAAGGAAAAGTCCAAGTTCAGAAGTTCTGGTCTGGACCGTCCCTGTCACTGACAAGCTGTGACCTGAACTCATCACTTCTGGGTCTCAGCTTCCTTGCTTCGGGCCTGGGAGGGGTAATTCAAGCCCTCAATAAGCATTAATCACCATGTGCCACTAAGACACAGGTGACAGATGTTAGGACAGATGTCCTCCCAGTCTGAGGACCGTCTCCCATTGGGAGGACACCCCTTGCCTTTCTCACAGGGCGGACTCCACTTCACAGGGGGCTAGTGCCCTCCCCCAGGGCCCTCTGTGGGCCCTCTGGGGGTGGTGGGGGCACTCACTGACTTGCTTCCCCACCCACACCCCACCCCCAGCACTCACCAGATGAATGTCTTCAGAGGATGATACATCCGTGAATTCTAGGCCTTGCTCAGGGCAGCATTGTGTCAAAAGCTTCATTCATAAAGAACCGTCCAGTCAGAGACATGCACCCACAGAGCCACATAGTGCTCAGAGGTGAGGGGTTGGTGCTGTGGAGGACACAGTTGGGAAGAGAGGCACTGGAAGGTGGAGCGAGATGCGGTAGATCACAGGCCTTCTGGAGTGAGGCAGTCTCCTGCTGTGATGGTTGCAGGAGCTGGCAAAATACCTAGGGACATCTGTTCAGGCACCCAGGAAGCTGAGATGTGGTGTCCCTGGGATTCTCATTGAAACCTTTGGAATTGACACATTCTCTGAGATGCCCTGGACAGGCAGGAGAGAGGCCCCAGGACACAGGACTCTGGCCTCCTCCTCAAGGGGCTCCTACCTTCGAAGATGTGAACAGTACGTGTTTAAATCCATTTCCATCTCTGTCTCTCTAGTTTATGGGGAGGTATGATCATCATATTTGAATGGAGGGAACCCCGAGGTCCAGAGGGGAGGCTCAAGGTCATCAGTGAGCTGATAGCAGGGAGGGGACTGACCCTCAAGCCTCCCAAGGTCCATCCTCAAGGTCACCTTGAGGTCCACAGTATCCGCAAACACAGACGCTGTCTCTGCTTGATCAGGAAGGCTGTCTGAATGACAGGCCCTCTACGAGGCGTGGACAGCCCTCCTGGTCATCTAACCCCTTCCACTTATAGCCTGGGAGAGCCCCACTGTTCGGGGTCATAGCTCTATGACTGGCTTATGGGATGGGGGGAAGAACGTGGGAACCTCCTCTCCCTCCTGTCCCAGCTCACCTTGGGGTTCTTTCTCACCCTGGGGTGCCTTTCTCACTATGAGGAATGAAACTATGGCATCTGAAGGCATGAACAAGTCAAGCCTTATCTAAATCAGAGTTTTCCTTTCTCATTCTCTACACAGCGTCTCCCCTCCTCATCCCTATAGGACTGACCCCACCAGAGTGGGAAGAACATAAGTTGCTCACCTTCCCATCCCTGTCTACCTGCACACCACCTGTCTGTGTACAACCTCTGCCCCCCCCATCCACCCTGCTGGGGGCAGAGACACAGGTGTAACTGAAAGGGGAAAGTGCTAGGTGCCCCCAGGTGACAGCTTTGCCAACTGTGCCCCTGCCTTCTTTGGGGCCTTTGCGCTACACCATTCTTCACAAGCTGGCTTCCTTGCTAAATTTTCTGGTGCTCCCTTTCCTGACTCCTGGTGAGGGCAACCCCTCCGCCTCTCTCCCTGGCGAACTCCCACCATGGCAGGCCACCTGCCCTCCTAGAAAGTTCTCTCTAGACGGCTCTCAGAGGTGTCTTCATTGTCCAAAAACTACTCAGGATCAATCCCAGTGTAACTGGGGTGAGAACACAGGCATACCCCTTCCTCACCCCCATAGGCCTCACTGTCACACTGCTGCAGGAGGGCTCCACTCAGCCTTTTTTTGGGCTTCCCCAAGATATCCCCTCCCCACTCTGTAGGGCAGGCCCTCCCATCTTCCTTCTGCCCAGCGAGCCCACCCCACTGAAGCCTCTTGACCGATTCTTACTGGGAGGAAGATGGAGGTGGGTTGTCGTCTAGAGCCCTAGGCTCTCGAGCAGACTCACTGGCCAAGTTCATGAGCCCACTAGGACACGGATGCAGATACCTGCCCAGTGGTGGGGGCACTGGACCCTGGAAGGGGAATGGCAGACCCAGAGGCTGCAAGCCTCCACCTCTTGACATGCCTATCCTACGTGGGCTGCTCTTTGCGGGGCTAATTTATATGCTGTGCTCCCGGCAGGCCCTGGCCTCTTCTCTCCCTCAAGAAGAGCCCAGGGTCCAAGCCTACGGCATTTCCAGGTGTGATCTTAAAGCAAAGTGGGGTCCAACCCCATCCACAAAAGGGCAACTACTGCCTGGCATGGGCAATACCCCCAAACTAGAGATCCTGACCCTCTGGTCCTCCCTGGGGCTCAGCACCCCATGAGGCCTCTACTCATGCTCCCACTGGTGACTATGGGAAGAAAGGTTCTTTCTATTCTTTTTAATTTTTTTAATGACTTTTATTTTCCCTGGCAGAGGATGCCAGGTCCAAATCTGATCCATGTGTGAACTGGCTGATTTTGGAAGCCTTTCCCAGGGAAGTGACACCCCTCGGCCCCCGCTCAGCCTTGGGCCTTCCTGCGGAATAACACTCTCAACTGGGGGCCACCGAGCAAATTCCAAGACAAGGTTTCAAGAATGATGATTCAGAGGCTTGAGGAGAACATTTATGGGAAAGAGCTGGCTCCATCCCTACTGCCACCAGGACCAGCTTAGACTCATGGCAGGGAGCGCAAAATTCAGGGGACACGGAGGGCTGACCCGGGTGGGAGCAGAGAGCCTCTGTGGGTGGACTTGGCTCCGAGGCAGTGAAAAGAGCTGGGAGCTGGTGGGTTGCTAGTGCTGAAGTCACAGTGGGCACAGTACAGGCAGACCCCACTGGCAAGAAGTGAGGTTGCTTGCTCTGATTGGATGGCCAGGAGGGGCAGAGCTGGGTTTTGGGGCCAGTCCCAGTGCCCTTTAAGTCTGAAGGCAGACACGTAAGCAAAGAGATGCTAAGGGGGACTTTGGAAGGACAGAGGCTGGAAGAGGCACAGCCTTGCTGCTCCCAGACCCAGCAGCCCCCCACGGCGCTCCCTGTCTGCTGAGGAGGCCCGGGCCAGGCACGCTACCTTTCCCTCTTCCCTTTAAACTCAAGGCCCAAATTCTGCTTGTCAGTCATCCCCGGCAGGGGTTCATGGCACTGGCCCTAGAAATCTTCTCTTGGTCTTACCTGAGGTCAGATAAATGGGCTGCTGCCTCCCACCTCCTGGCTAGAGCCCTTGGTTTGGCATCCCCCCTTATGTTACTGGGGGTCCAGGGACAGGCAAGACACGAGCTGGCCACTCGTGGGCAACTGTGACCTATTTATTGTCTACAAACACAGCAGAGCGCTCCTTGAGCCCCTACAAGCACAGCTCATATAATGAGCAGGCCCGGGGACACCCAGGCCGCTGTTGACCTGATGATGTGACTGTCTCCATGGTGGTCTGGGGGTAACTCAGCCTGTGGTAACATCACACTTTGCTGACGCAAATGTGTCTTGACACATGGTCATGATGTCCCCTTCTCTTGTAAAACTTTGGCCCCCATTCCTAACCCAGCCTCCGGACCCTATTATTCCTCATACCACTGTCGCAGGATCAGCTTTTACTAGCCTGTGTGCTTTCAATAAATGGTCCCAGAAATGCTGCTCCAGTAGCAGAGTCTTGCCTTGCAAACCTACCCCAGACTGCTGTGTCCCTCACAGAGGCAACAACGTTCCTGTGGCAACAGCACACCTTGAACTTGTATGAAAATCACCAAGTCCGCTTTCGGCGCATTCCTATGAGTTATGCACACAGTTTAATACAAGTTGAAAGGACTCCAGCTCTGCACTGGGCCAAATTTGGTCTGTGTACCCAGACCTTGGAGGTTTCTTACATGTCTGAATGAAAACTGGGGACAATTCACACAGTTGGCCAAGGCTGCAGGGAGAGAAGAGTGAGTTGTCCCTTCTGCTGTCCCCAGGATGGAGAGGGTCCCTGGGGTCAGTCCCTGGTGGTTTGGCTCTCCTATCAGGGTTCCCGGTCCCCTCCAGAGGGCTTGTTGGCAGTTTCTCTGCCAGGGACATCCATCCTCAGGACCTCCTACTCCCTCCCACACTGCTTCCCCCTCGGCCCTGGGCACCCACCCCTGCACCCCTACCCGCAGAATTTACTTCTTAGGCGCGGGCTTCTCCCCCGACACAGCCCGCGGTTCCCGCTTTGGGAAGCGCCCAGCGCATGGCCACGGGCCGGCTTACTCCCGCTCCCACCCCTCCGCCAGCCCCACAGTCCACACCCAGCTCCTCCTTCCCCGGGGGTGGGGTTGGGGGGAGCCGCTCCGGAAACCCCCGCGCCCCTGCCGAGGCAGCCGCTGGCGCTGTGGAGAGGGCGGTCCGCACCAGAGCGCGCCACTCAGGTCTGGAGCGCCCAGCTGCCGCCAGCGCCCAGGAGTCACCCCAACACCTCTGAGACCCACCGACCTGTGAGCCACAGCCCGCCGAGCTCCCCGCGCTTCCCCCGGATCCTCCAGCCTGCCTCTCTCCAGAGCCCCTCACCGACCCCGGAACCTCAGCCCTACCGGCGCCCTCCCCCACCCACGGGCTCCCCCCCCCCCCCATCCTCCTGCCTGAGCTCAAGCCGAGCCCGGAGTCTGCCCCCATGCGTGCTCTGGCCATGGGCACCGTGCGTGGGGCCCCGGTGCTCGGCTGTCTTCTGGCTTTGCTGGCCCTGCTCCCCGAGGGGCATCTGCAGACTGTGCTGACAGACGACGAGATCGAGGAGTTCCTCGAGGGCTTCCTGTCTGAGCTGGAGCCGGAGCCCCGGGAGGACGACGTGGAGGCTCCGCCAGCCCCTGAGCCCACACTGGGCAATCGCAAAGCCCAGACTGGGGGCAAGCCAGGGCCACGTCTGGGGATGACCAGAGAGGGTAAGAGCCCTGAGCAGGGGTGCCCCTCACGGTGGGGGGCTCACTCACGGTGCCCTGCACCTCAGGTGAGCATGGAGGCCTCAGCAAGATTTGGCCACTGCCCAGTCCTCCAAGCGTGAGGAATGAGTCTGTACGGCATGAGAGCCCAGATGTCTGGCCAGAAACCACCAAGCAGAGGCCCATGCCGCCTTATGTAGCCTTTGGTCTGGAGGCACATCCAGCAGGCCCACTGCCCCTGGCTTGGGTTGCCCCAGGCCCCCAGCCCAGTTCCACTGAGGAACAGGCTTGAACCAACAGGGTGGGTTGCTGCCCCTTCCCTAGGTCTGTGCCACAGCCCTGCGATTTAGTGGGGCCTCTCAACCTGTTTGTGACACACACCACTGCCAGAGTCTGGACCTCAGCCTTCCCTGGAAGGGGTTCTATTCCAGGAGCAAGAGGCAACCGAGGGGGCTGCAGAAGACCCCTCCCTGAAAGATGTCTAAGTAGCCGTGGGTAGTGGGCAGTCCCTGCTTATCATGAATGTTCCATGAGGTGATGTGTCACCAAGGCATTTAGCCAGGGCCTCTTACATAATCAGTTGTCTATAAATCTTCCCTGTTTATTGTGACCTCTGGAGGGTGGCAAGGGTCTTGTTGATCTCTGTCTCCCAGGGACTCCAAAAGCACCAACCATCATTCCTGAGGCCAGCAGGACCCACCACCACCTCCATCTACTTCTAGTATCCTCTGTCCACCCCTTGGCTTTCTTGGGCCCTTGGATGTTGCTGTGGCGGCCCTGTTTCTCCTGGCTGTCTGCATTTTGTGAATTTTCTTCGTTCCAACATTGTGGACTCTACCTCCCGTTAAATTCTCAGCAGCAGAGTTCTGGAGGATTCTCACTGTCACCCACTCCCTGCCCTGCTTTTTCCTTCAGACTCTGAGATGGTCAAGCAGTTGTAGCTCCTGCCTGCCCCCCCACCGTGTCCTCTGTGAGACCCCAGGGTCCCTTATTGGTTATGGCTTCCAGCCCATCCTGGACCCCTCTCTTCTTGATACTGCCTCCCCCCACTTTTCTTTGAAATGTCTTTTGCCCACTGCAGGTAGTTTCAGGGTGGCCCCAGGGCCCAAGTCATTCACTTTACATACCAGTTGGCATGAGGTCACCTCCCTCTTGGGTTGGGTGCTCTCCCAGGCAGGAGGGCCGTGCCACCTGTCTGCCCTTTCCAGGCCCAGCACAGAATAGCACTCCATGACTGGCCAAGTGGGCATGCAGTGAAGGATTGGTCTCAAGGGGTCTTTGTTGAGGTTTTGGCAGATGGGAGGAGAGGGCGGGATCTGAGCCACTCAGGCCAAGATGTGGTGGTGACAGCAAAGACTGCAAGCAGAAATCCCTGTTCTGTCACAAGACAAATGACTTAACCTTTCAGTTTCCTGATGTGGGAGATGTGACTTAACAAGAGTCCCTCTGCCCAAGTTGTAAGTCACTTGGGGTGGGGGTGGGAGCACGTGGGAATGAAGCTGTCGCTCCATGAGCTTGACCTAACTCTGCATCTTGGATAGCACCTCCAGAAAAGGCTAAAGACAAAGGGAAGAAAGGGAAGAAGGACAAAGTCCCCAAGGCCACCAAGCAGCCCCCGGAGGGGCCCCCCAAGCCACCCAAGAAGCCCAAGGAGAATCCACCCAAGGCCACCAAGAAGCCCAAGGAGAAGCCACCCAAAGCCACCAAGAAGCCCAAGGAGAAGCCACCCAAGGCCACCAAGAAGCCCAAGGAGAAGCCACCCAAAGCCACCAAGAAGCCCAAGGAGAAGCCACCCAAGGCCACCAAAAAACCCCTGGCTAAGAGGCCCCCCACGCAGGCCCCCCCAGAAAATCCATTGCCCCCACTGTCCGGCCCCCATCCTGAGGACCTGCCCCAGGAGGGAGGTGTGTGCCTGGCTCTTCTGGAGCTGTGGGATTCTAGCCTGTGGGCTGTGGGGAGGGAGCAGTGAGGGCAGGTCTCTGGTTCCTGCAGACCCTCGGTACACCCAGGCCCTCGTTATTGTCATGAATATGGCAGTTCAGTTAGGGCTACCTCAGTGCCCCAGCTTCCTCTGGGCATTGCTTGGGTTCATTAGTGGGTCTTGCTCTCCACTTTCCTGGGATTGTGCCTGGGCTCCACCCAGAACCGTGTGTTGCTTAATTTTGAGCCTGTAGTGTGCCCTTCAGCTGCGACAAAGTTGTATCAGGGCCTCCCAGCAGCAAAGCCGGGGATCCCTAGAAGGCTTTCTGGCTCTCTGGACCCAGGGACACCAGCCAGGTGCTGAGAGCCAGAGCAGCCTAGGACCCATGATTTCGAGGTATCACCAAGGTCTAGATCTGGTAGAGGCTTTATGTGTAGCTGATGTGTGATGCAGAGACTCTCTCTGATGTGAGAGACAATCTCTCGTGTGGTCAGGGCAGACTCTTGTCTGGGGTTTTTGTTGCAGGCCCCTGGCAGCATCCAGGAGGAGAGACCGATGTGGAGCACCAGCCTGGTGAGTGAGCAACATCCACCTGGCCTCAGGGAACTAACCAACCTGGCTTTCTGGGTTTCCAGGGTTGCCTGGGTGGGGGCATCAGTGAGTATCTGCAATGAGGTGGCCATGAGCATTTCCCTCCAGAGCCGGAGACTGAGCTGCCCACACTGGACTACAATGACCACATAGAGAGGGAGGACTATGAAGACTGTAAGTAGGACCCTGCCATCCTGGGGCCCTGGTTGGCACCACCTCCCCCATCTAGACCTGGATTTCTGATGGGCCACCCAGAGGCACCTCCCTCGCCTCCCTTCCCCTCCCTACTCCACCCCCCCACCAGCACAGGAGGCCACTTGCCCCAGCTCAGACCACCCTCCCTCTCAGTTGAGTACATCCGCCGCCAGAAGCAGCCCAGACCGCCCCCCAGCAGGAGGAGGCCTGAGAGGATCTGGCCTGAGCGTCCTGAGGAGAAAGTGGAGTCCCCAGAGGAGAAGATCGGTAGGATGGGGTCAGACAGGGAGAGGAGGGGTGCCTGGCTCAGGAGTCCTGAGCCCACACCTGCCTCCCGCCTCCACAGAGCCACCCTTGAAGCCGCTGCCACCCCCTCTGCCCCCCAGTTATGAAGATGGCTATGTGATGCCGGACTATGACAATAGTGAGTGCTCGGGGCCTGCCCACCCCATCCGGGCCAGCCCTGACCGCCCTGTAATGCTTGTGGTAGTTACCTGGCTACTCCAAGTGCCCCCCACATGCCCACCCTCATCTCATCTCCCTTCAGGCTGGCCTTCCCTGCTACCTTCCTGGTTCCTGACTTTGCTCTCCCCGAGAGGTGTCCCCAGGGGTGTTGGCCTCTCTCCCCCCCGCAGTGGGGTCCCTGCCCGCTTGCTTCCTGAGATTCCCACCCCTTCAAGTCTGACACCTTCGCCACCGCCCCCCCTCTGCGTATCTGTTACCCCCTTCTCAACTTCAGCCCTGAGCAGGTCCTTGCCCTTTCCCTGGCCCCCAGCTCAACCCAAGATTACCTCCCTTTCTGGCCATGGTTGGCAGCTTTCACTCAAGGCCTGTTCTGTGCCACCCAAATCCCATTCCCTGTCCGGCCTTGTCCCACCTCTCCCCAGACCAGACTCTCCTGGTGGGCTAAACTGGTGACTTCCCTGGGGTCTTGATCATTCAAGCTGGGTGGAGAGGGCTCCCCTTCCTCCCAAAGGAACCTAGCATCCTAGCCTGCCTGAATTCCTCAGCCGCCACCCCCCCTCCACCCCCCTCATGTTGCTCTCTCCCTCCCACTCTGTCCTCCCGCTGGGCTCCTGTGAATCGAGGAGCCTCTGCTCACAGTGTGAGCTCCGGGGGCAGGCCAGGGCCACCTCAGTGGGTCTTTCTCTCCCTGCAGTGGACTATTACTTCCGGCCTCCCCAGCCCCGGAAGCCAAACACTGAGCTGGAGACAGATGAAGAGAAGGAGGAGCTGAGTGAGTGAAACCAGGCTCTTCCCAGCCCTGGCGTCCACCCCGCTGCGAATCTGAGCCCCACCCTGCCTGCCTCCATCTTAGCCTGATCCCCCAACTCACATGCTCCCAGATCAGGCCTCCACCCTCAACTGTCCCCAGATCAGCAGACCTCCAATTCACCTGCCACCAGCTCAGAAGCTGCGCCCCACATGCCTCCCCATTCAGTCTGACCCCGCTTCCACGTGGTCCTGAAAACCGAGAGCCAACCTGACTGACTCTTCCCACCTTCTGCCCTTCAGAGAAACCCAGAAAGGAGAGCAGCCCCAAAGAGAAGGAAGACAAGTGGGCTGTGGCAAAGGGCAAGGACCACAAAGGTGTGCACTGGGGGCGGATGGGCCAGCGGAGTGCGGCCACACTCCCGGACCTGGCCCACAGCCTCCCTGTGTTGCTCCAGGGCCCCGAAAGGGAGAGGAGTTGGAGGAGTGGATGCCAAGAGAGAAAGTCAGTGAGTGAGGGGCCCAGGTGTGTGTGCGTGTTGGGCTGGCATTAGGGGTGGGGGCTGGAGGTATGTGTGGCACCTGGGGGTGTGAGCGGGAGCTGGGCTAGGGGGTGGGGTGGTGGCTAGAAAAGGATGTGGGTTGGGAGTGGGCTGTGCCGTTAAGTGGAGCCATGGGGTGGGGGGTTGAGGGTGTCTGGGGGGGAGTGTGAGGGCAGTGTAGCAGCAGACTGTTGGTGACAGAACAGGTCACCACACATGGATCCCAAACACGAATTTCCTGATGATTCCTCCAGGACCATTTCCTGCTCTTGAATTCTTGGGGCACAAAGAGAGATGCCTGGGTGTGTCTCTGCTCTGCACTAACAAGACAGGCATGCAGATGGTACTAATGTAGATGATACTTGAGGCTCACTGGCCTTGGGGTGGCTGTTCAGTGTCCCCTTGAAGCCTGGCACCATCAGCCCATTCTCCAGATGGGAAAGCTGAAGCCCACGGAAAGCAGAGCCCTGATTGGCAACCCCTGATGTGAAGGGTGGGCTCTGGGCTCCTTGGTTCTGGGTTTGGTGGAAGGCGGGGTGGAGTCAGTGAGCCACCAGCCTGGGATGCCATGTCCCCAGAGTGTCCCCCAATCGGAATGGAGTCACACCGCATTGAAGACAACCAGATCCGGGCCTCCTCCATGCTGCGCCATGGCCTGGGGGCACAGCGTGGCCGTCTCAACATGCAGGTGGGTGTCACCACGGGCTCATCTCCCAGCTGGGCAGGGCTTGTCCACCAGCTCAGCCTCCTTGTTGCCCGGACAGGCTGGCGCCAATGAGGATGACTACTACGATGGGGCATGGTGTGCCGAGGATGACTCTCGCACCCAGTGGATTGAGGTGGACACCAGAAGGACCACCACGTTCACAGGTGTCATCACTCAGGGCCGTGACTCCACTATCCAGTACGTTGACAAGGTTCACAGGCATTTGAGAGGAGGGGCGAGGGGCTCCAGGCATGGCTCTAAGACCCACGCCCCACCAGGCCTCCGCCCCAGTCCTTGGCCATGCTCCTGGCTTGCTCTCCACGTGCAGATGGGCCGGTGGGCATGAGAACGGCTCCAGACTCCAGCTGGGCACTGCATACCCCTACTAACTCGCAAGTCTTAGACCCAGGGGACCTGGGGCAGGGAGACCAGTCTTGCCCTGATCTTCTTCTACTCCCCAGTGATGATTTTGTGACCTCCTTCTTCGTGGGCTTCAGCAACGACAGCCAGACATGGGTGATGTACACCAATGGCTACGAGGAAATGGTGGGCACCAACCCTTCAACCCTTAGTGGTCCGGGCCACCGGTGGGCTCGCAGCCGGGGCGGGGGTGGTTCTGAGGCCTGCCTCTCCTCAGACCTTCCATGGGAATGTGGACAAGGACACGCCCGTGCTGAGTGAGCTCCCGGAGCCCGTGGTGGCCCGCTTCATCCGCATCTACCCCATCACCTGGAATGGCAGCCTGTGCATGCGCCTGGAGGTGCTTGGGTGCCCTGTGACTCGTGAGTGCAGGGGAGTCGGCAGGGCTCCAAGGGGCAGCTGGGGTGACCGCAGTGGGCAGGGGGCCGGCTCAGCGCCCTGTCTGCGCACCCCTCCACAGCTGTCCATAGCTACTATGCTCAAAACGAGGTGGTGACTACTGATGACCTGGACTTCCGGCACCACAGTTACAAGGACATGCGCCAGGTAGGGCACTAGTCCGGATGTGAGGTTCCTGTCCAGGGACAGGGCTCAGGGCTAACAGGATCTTGTGTCAGCACTCCTTCTCTCATCCAGGACATGCACAGCTGGGTAAGAGGCTTGCCATCTCTCATTTGAGAAGGAACCCCTGAGGCCTTTCTCTTCAGAGCTAGTGCCTCTCAGAGGTTGCTCCTGGGGCCTGGGGTCACCTGCATAGCATAGGAGCCTTCCCCATAGAGACCAGGTTCCTGGGGGTTGTGGGGATGGGCTGTGTAACTGGGTGTCCTCTCCACCAGCTGATGAAAGTGGTGAATGAAGAGTGTCCCACCATCACCAGAACATACAGCCTGGGGAAGAGCTCACGTGGGCTCAAGATCTATGCCATGGAGATCTCCGACAACCCTGGGGATCATGAACTCGGTGAGGCCCCACCTCCCCCTGAAGTCATGGCCTCTGTGGCCTCCTGGACCTGTGCCCTTGAGGTGCCCAGATCACCATCCCCTGGCTGTCGCTGGAGACCCTCTGGGGGCCCACTGGGCCTTACTGGGCCTCCCACGTCTCGGTTGCTCTCTAGTCCTTGGGTATGAGGGTATGAGGCCTGCTTAGGTCCTTCCTCAGATCCCCAGGCCTCAGGTGGTTGGCTGGTTGTTGAGGCGCCTGCCTTTGCAGGTGAGCCCGAGTTCCGCTACACAGCTGGGATCCACGGTAATGAGGTGCTGGGTCGTGAGCTGCTGCTGCTGCTCATGCAGTACCTGTGCCGTGAGTACCGCGACGGGAACCCCCGGGTGCGCAGCCTGGTGCATGACACACGCATCCACCTGGTGCCCTCGCTGAACCCTGATGGTTATGAGGTGGCAGCACAGATGGTAGGTGGGCAGGACAGGTGTTTGGGTTGGGGGGGTCATCGTGGATGTGTTGGGGTGGGGCTGGGACCCTGGGGTGGACCTTGGCTGAGCAGGGGACAGGGCCGGGGGGACTCGGGGACACATGTGAGATGCTGAGGCTAACCCTGTTGGTTCCCCCAGGGCTCGGAGTTCGGGAACTGGGCGCTGGGACTGTGGACTGAGGAGGGCTTTGACATCTATGAGGACTTCCCCGATCTCAACTCTGTGCTCTGGGGGGCTGAGGAGAGGAAATGGGTCCCCTACCGGGTGCCCAACAACAACCTGCCCATCCCTGAACGTTACCTCTCTCCAGACGCCACGGTGAGGCTGCAGCCTGGCCAGTAGAGCCTGGGGGAACAGCCTAGACTTGGAGTCCCAGGGCTTCAGACTAAGGGGTGCAGGTGCTGAGCCCGCAGGCCTTTGGAGGGACAGGTGGGGCATGAGTACTCAGGGGCCTGGGGTGTCCATGGAGGGTGCTGGAGGCTGTGGTCAAAACCTCACTCTGTGGGCGCCCCACCCCCAGGTGTCCACAGAGGTCCGGGCCATCATTGCCTGGATGGAGAAGAACCCCTTCGTGCTGGGGGCAAATCTGAATGGTGGTGAGCGTCTAGTTTCCTACCCCTATGACATGGCCCGCACACCGAGTCAGGAACAGCTACTGGCCGCAGCCATGGCAGCTGCCCAGGGAGACGAGGATGAGGTATCCGAGGCCCAAGAGACCCCAGATCACGCCATCTTCCGCTGGTTGGCCATCTCCTTCGCCTCTGCTCATCTCACCATGACAGAGCCCTACCGGGGCGGGTGCCAAGCACAGGACTACACCAGTGGCATGGGCATCGTCAACGGGGCCAAGTGGAACCCCCGATCTGGGAGTGAGTTGAGTGCGAGATGTGTGGTGGGCTGTTTGGCACGGGGCATGGGGTGACTGCAGCCTTGTATGTGCCCCGTCCAGCAATCAATGACTTCAGTTACCTGCACACCAACTGCCTGGAGCTCTCCATGTATCTGGGCTGTGACAAGTTCCCTCACGAGAGTGAGCTGCCCCGAGAGTGGGAGAACAACAAGGAAGCTCTGCTCACCTTCATGGAGCAGGTGGGGTCAGGGAACACAGGAGCCAGTGGAGGCTGGGATGGGGCCTGGGGGGGTTGGGGTGGGCCTTGCCCAAAGAGGTTGGAGAAACAGAAGCAGTGAGCCAACTGGGGTCTCCATGTGACCGGAACCCTCTCTGCCTGCAGATTCACCGCGGCATCAAGGGGGTTGTGACAGACGAGCAGGGCATCCCTATTGCCAATGCCACCATCTCCGTGAGTGGCATTAACCACGGTGTGAAGACAGGTATGGTGTGTGCACACCTCTGCCCTGCCTTTCCAAGGTGGAGGGCTAAATCTGTGTGGTCTTGATGAGGCGTGCACAGCTCCTCTGCCCCTCCCAAAGGGTCTGCCCCAGACAGAGGGAGACAGAGGGTTGGAGAGGAGCTGGGAGTGGGGATCTCAGAGAACTGGGGTGGTGGGGACTCAAGAGGAGGACCTAAGGGGGGGGCAAGAGGATCTCTGAGGTGAGCTAGGGGTACTGGGGGAACTCGGGAGGGTCAAGAGATCTGAGGTGCATGCTGGGACCTGTCCTCCCTCGTAGCAAGCGGCGGCGATTACTGGCGCATCCTGAACCCGGGCGAGTACCGCGTGACGGCGCAAGCAGAGGGCTACACCGCCAGCGCCAAGACGTGCAACGTGGGCTACGACATCGGGGCCACCCAGTGCAACTTCATCTTGGCTCGCTCCAACTGGAAGCGCATCCGGGAGATTCTGGCCATGAATGGGAACCGGCCCATCCTGCACATTGACCCCTCTCGCCCCATGACCCCCCAGCAGCAGCGCATGCAGCGCCGGCGTCTGCAGTACCGACTGCGAATGCGCGAGAGACTCCGTAACCTCAATGCCACTGCGGGACCAGGCACCCCTTCCACAGTGCCCCCCACACCTTCCCTTGCACCCTCCCTCGCACCCTCCCCTACCTCAGGCTCCACACTGACACCCTGGCACTCTGAACCAGAGACCACAGTTAACTGGGAAGAGTCGGAGACTGAGACCTACACAGAGGTGGTGACGGAGTTTGGGACGACGGAGCTGGGGCCCGAGGAGGAGGAGGTGGTGGAGGAGGAGATGGTCACGGGCCCAGAGTTCCCCTACACCACAGTTGAGACCTACACGGTGAACTTCGGGGACTTCTGAGAGTAGAAGGTCAGCCAACGGCCGGTCAGCGTCACCTAGGCCAACCCAGCAGCTATCAGTGAACCAAAGTGCCCCTGGTGTGGGCCCAGCCAGGGGAAGGGCAGGGATGGAACCAAGACCCAGAGTCCCAAGCTGCCCAGGCAGGCTCCTACTCCATCCGCCACCCCTATAGAAGATGGGCTGCTGGCCTGGCGATGGCAGGTTTAGCAAGTCCAGGGGGCAGACTTCTCAACTGCCTGCCCAGGCTGCACCAATAAACAAGCTTGTGGCAGATGCGTTGCTGACTGCTCCTTCTGACCAGCCTGGGGCAGGGGAGTGGGGAAGAGGAAGCACATTTAGGTGGGCTCCCGCCCCAGAGTTCCCTAGTCCCAGAACTCAACATCAGGTAATAGGCTTTATTTACAAAACAAAAGCTTCCACAGTGCTGACACAGGGAAGGAGAAAAGCCGGGCCTCTGTCCAGGGCAGCCAGCCGTTGAGTCAGGGGTCCAGATCCAGGTCCTCCTCTGCCCCGAAGCCTGAGAAGCTGATGGGCTGGCAGGTCAGGCTGCGCAGGTTCACGAGGCAGGCAGTCTGGGTGGCACTGAAGTCTGGCACAGCCACCAGCAGCACAGTCTGCTCCTCAGGACCTGCAAAGCAGCCACCTTAGGTTCTGCATACACCTTCAAGGGCTCAAAGGGAAAGTAAACAGGTACCCTGCATCAGTAGCAGCTGACAGCAGACGTGCCTATGGACAGAGTGGAAAGGGCTGAGGCCAGCATAAAGGTCAGAGGCCAGTGCTGAACTCTGGTGACACAGGACATGGACAAGTCAATCCCCACCGGGCATGCTCAGCTGGACCTCAGGTAGACTCTGGGCAACTCCATGGTCTAAGTTTCCTTCTCTGAATCTTGTCTCCAGCTGAGAGTGAGTCCCCAGGCCCAGGATCCCTAAAAAGTAACTTGCCTTGGATGATTTTGGAGCCAAATCTGGGGGTGTTGCCACAGAAGTAGACATGAGGACACTCCGGAAAGACAAATGGGTCCATTTTGTAGAAGGGGTAACAACCTGGAAAAGAAGGACTATAGCTGAACGCAGGGCTTCTGACCTCAGCACAGGACATCCAGGGTGGGGTTTCTCAGCTAGGAAATGGAATGTCCACCCCCATGCTCTAGCTGCCCCGCCAGATGTGACAATAGCTGGAGAAGCAAGTCAGCCCACCCCTGCCGCCTCAGCGCTTCGGAGTGGGGACTGCAGCAGGGTGAGGCTCAGACGGGCCCAGGCACCAGTATGTCCTGCGACCTTCAACTCTAAGCTGGGCCCTGGCCAGTGATGGAAGTGAGATCCCATGGTAGCTTCTAGAACAATCATCTAACTTTGAGACTTTAGGTAGGTCATGGTAAGGCCAGCAAGTGCAAGTCCATGCTGCGAACCCTCTGGGGATCGAGAGCCCTGCCAGACCTTCCCTGGCCTGCCGGTCCCCCCCGCCTCAGTGTGGGTGAGTCCTGTTACCCAGGGTGTCCGGGGCTGTGGGGCTAATGTGACGGACTCGTAGAGTCCACTCCAGAATCTCCAAGTGGTCCTCCATGCTGCTATACCGGAAAATGTCACTCACGTTCTGTCCTGATGTCCCCAAAAATCTGCAAGGCAAGGCCTGGTTGACCCACATGGGGGAAGAGCTGGGGCACCATCTGTGCGCCTCCCACTCAGGCCAGCCCAGCGCTCCCCTGGTGCTCGCAATGGGGGTTCCAAATCAACTTTGAGAAAAGCCCAGCTCCAGGCTGGCCCTCAACAACCCGACACCCTCCACATGGTGCCCCTGGGCAGAAGGGTCAGACCAGGGTGTTACTGGCTACCTGACTCCATCAATGGTGGCCTGGTAGGGGTTGGTGACCAGCTGGAGCGTGGAGTAGGCCGTGGCCAGTGGGAACATGCAGGGGTGCAGTGGTTGCTGGGGGAGCGTGTAGTTGGTTGGGTCAAATTCGCCTGGCATCACGTCCACAGGCACCGAGGCCTGGCGGGCACAAGGGCAGGTGAATTCACAGGCCCAGCACCCTCCACACGCAGCTCCGTCCACCCCCTCCCCAGGCGTGCCTTCCCTAAGGCCCCAGTCCCAGCAGCCAGCTGGCTCCCCAGCTCCTCACACTCAGTTGCAGAAGGATCTCGTCCAGCATCTTGACAGCTTCCACACTGGCTGCCTGGGTTTTCTTGGTTAGGTACTTAGCCTGGAAGTAAAAGCCCATAGGCTGTCAAGACCGAGGGAGGCTTAAATCAAAGGGACACGTCAGCCCAAACTGGGCTGCCTGGCTGAGAGCAGAGCAGAGCCCCACCCACAAGTTTTGAGTCGATTCTGTCGAGCCTCAGAAAACAGGCTTGAGCCCCAGTGGTTCCAGCATCACTGCAGAACCTCTCCCACTTGGCCCGGGAGACCTCAACTCTGCAGAGGAGGAGGGCTGCGTGGGAGCAGGCTAGCACCTACCTTGTTGATAGAGTCCCTACTTTGGGTGCTGTGGCTAAGCAGGTTCCCGGCGAGAATGACCCGGGAGACCCGGGCAGCACTGCACTGCTCCCCTTCATCCCCAAGCTGCCCGGTCACTATGTCCACCAGCAGCTGAGTGCCCAACAGACTCTCGCCACCTCCTCCACCTAGGCCCAGACCAGACACCAGCAGCACAAACCTGCAAGAGAAGTTTGGATGCTCCTAAGAGCCAAGGAGGCCGCCCCAAGGCGGGCCACGCGGAGCCACTCGGCGAGCTCGTCACTCACAGGTGAGCAGGGGACAGGGAGCCCAGCAACTGTGCCTCCCACTGCCCAGTGCCCTCCACCCAATGCCCATTCCTCACCGGTCTGAGTCAAGGGTCGGCGAGGGCTTCTGAGGAGCAAGTTCTGCAAAGCAGTGGTTCTCCACCAGGAACTTCCCATCATCTCTCACGGAGCCAAGCACAGCCAGGACCGTCCCTAGGGAGCAGTAGTGTCAGGCCCCAGGAGGGAAGCCCCTGGACCCCGTCAGCCCATGGGAAATTCAGGTCACCTCTCCTCTGCTTTGCCAGCAAATTCTCACTTAGGACTCAGGCTACGCCCCTGCTTCCTGGGGCCGCTGCCTTTGGGTAGAGGCAGGAAGACCTGACCTCCTATCTGGGTCTCGCCACTGCCTGAACCCTAACCTGTAGCCCCTGTGTGCCAGTCCACCCTCTTTCCTCCCCTTACCTGTGACCAACTTTGACACATCAATGGTGCCTTCCAGTTTGATGCGCTGCAACTCATCTTCTAAGACCAGCTCATCATCTGGGTGAATGTATTTGTTCCGAGGAGGCTGGGGGAGCAGGTTGTGCTAGAATTTGGAGATGGGAGATGATTCTGGGACCAGAGCTTCCCAAGGCTCCTTTGCTGCAACTCCGAGACAGCACTGCAGCCCCTACATCCCCTTAGATAAAGGCCTAGTCCCGATGCCCTTGGTCCATGGCAGGTGACCCCGTTGGCCTCCCTAGGGAAGTGTTCTGGGGTGGCCCATGTGAACAACCAGGCTTACCTCCTCGCTGACCTCCCGCAGGATGGAAGGCTGGAGCGGCATAGCCTTGAACAGAGTCCCCACCACACAGCACTTCTCTCCAGGCTGCAGCTCACACAGTTTCTTTATCTGGATTCCACTGCCTGAGGCATGAGGGGCATGGGCTCAGAGACCAGGCAGTCCCCCAGGATCCCTCACGGGGCAGGTAACAGGCCTCAAGAGCACTGCAGTCCTGGGCGCTGGCCTGTGCTGAGAGGCAAAGAACACCAAGGGCAAGCACTACCAGATTAAAGGATCACTTGTCCCAGAAGGACAGAAGGACTGTGGATGTGGCTGGCCCACACTGGATACTCAGTGTTCTTCTGAAAGAGGCAGACAAGCAGGGAAGATGACATGCAAATACAGCAGACTGGTGGTCACAAACCCAGGAACACCGGGGCTGTCACCAGAAGCTGGAAGAGGCAAGGAAAGAGTCTCCCCTAGAGCCTCTGGAGGGAGCATCTGGATTTTGGACTTCTAGCTCTAGAACCAGGAGAGAAGAAGTTGAAGTCACCCAGTTGATGGCTTTGTGACAGCAGCCAGAGGAAACTAATAGAGAATCATCTTACTTATAACTAATTATAATACTGATTCTTAGAAAGAGGATGCCAAATCTCCACACAGCCCTGCCTTTAAGAGCTTAGATTCTTCCACCAGATCTCCCCAAATGCCTATCCTCTGAAAACAAAGTTATGCCAAAGTCAAACTTGATTTCTACCCGCTCCTGCCCCCATGGAGTCAGGCAGCCTTGATCATCAGAGCACCTGGTTCTGGAAAACAGCACAGCCTCAGGAATGTGCAGGAGGCAGCTGTGGAGGTGCTTGTCTGCAGGATCACTGGGGGGCAGGGAGAAGGCGTATACATCCCAGGAGGCCCAGGAATCTGTCAGTACGGACCTCACGCATGGAGAACACAGTGTGTGTGGGCAGTGGGGGGTTGGAGGGCAATGGGATACTATGCACGCGTGACCAGGCTCTTCTTTAGCCTCGCTGGCTAAAGCAGCAGCCCTTCCTGCCCTGGAATAACTGAGAACATTCCATAGAGCTACACCCTGGGAAGTGAAAGGGAATAATTCAAAACAAGAAGGTAGCCTGCTCCCAAAAATGCCAGATACCGATGGAAACGACCGATCCCAAAGCCCTTACTCAGCCCAGTGGCTTGTGCCAAGCACTGTAAGGAACTCATCCATCTGACAACACGCCGGAGTAGGTAACAGCTTCCCCCCAGCATGGTTGAGGAAACTGAGGTCCAAAGAGATTAAGTCACAAATTCAGGTTTACGCAGCTGGGATCCAACATAGGCACCTAAGCACTAGCTGGGACAGACGTCTACCCAGACGCAAGTTCCAGGCCGGGCCCCAGACCCGAGAACAGAAAGGCCTATCCTCTCGCTCACTGAGCTTACGGCCTAGAGGGAGAGAAATAACAGCAGTGAACAAGAGTTCAGACACATCGCAAGCCATGAACAAATGGGAACTGAGACAGAAAATATGGGGGAGGCCCTGGAGGTTGGGGTGGCATTAGAAGCACATGACACATAAGATGAGGTTGTGAGGCAAGATTGGTGAAAGAGTGTGCCAGGTAAAGGAAAGCAAGAAAGGCTCGGTGAGTCGGAAGAAGAGGCGTGGAGAAGGAATTCTCAGATAGGCTCTGATGAGGGGCCAGTCACGTGCAGAAGCCACATGGAAGTTTTCTGGGTGAAGGCAGCATTGATCAACAGGCCCAAGAATAGAAGCTGCTGCTGCCTGCCTTCGCTCCAAGCCAAGGCCTGATCACCACGGCCACTGGTTTCCATGGGTCTGAATTCCAGCCCTAGTCTTAGCAGAATGAAATGGCCACTCTTTGTCACTGGGGAGCATTGTCAGCAGCCAGAGTAACTAGAAGAGAAATACAGTATCAGAGAGGAGTAATGCAGAAAAGTACGAAGGAGCACTGACACTGAGCCTGGGAAGGGTGTCCAGAAGCACTTAGAGGATATTGAGAAAAAGGGCAATGGCCTCAGAAGGAGTCCCTTGTTATGTGGTAAAGGAAATGCAAGCAACTAAAAAACAGAAAATGTCTCTAATGAATGTGGTGATCTAGCTAGATTTCGTCAGGTGTTCTCCTGGACACCTATAGTGAAACAAGAGTCGATCCAGCCTTCTTGATATGACAGGCCTAAGAACTGGGGCTTCCCAAAGCTTTCCGGATGGCTCCAATGGGCAACCAGGGCTGAGATCTACTAACACTGGTACCAGAGAAAATAAAATGAGTAAGACATGGCCTCCCCTACAAAAATTTCAATTTAAAAACATACCAGATGAATCCAAAATTTACTTGGAAAGCCACTTTTATAGATAGTAAGAAAGGGGTAATGTAGCCAGCATAACTCAGAAATGGAAGGTAGAGGTCCTGCTTCTCCTTCAAGAATAACTTAACTGCAAGAGATATCTGAGAAGGAAATGGGAACAACAGGAAAAGGTTTGCATTGTCCAGGCCACTTCATGAGGAGAGACCAAAGAGTCCATGGAACTGAGACTCATACCCAAAAAACAGGGGTGTCAGGAGGATATGAGAATGACATCAGTGACCACAAGGGTATCCCCTCAAGAGTGGGAGGTTGTTTCCACTGGGCCCCAAATCCTCGGGGCTGACAGCTGGCCTGCCACACTGAGGTACTTGCTAGCCACAGCAGAACGAATATGAAGACACACACTGGTGATTTTTCTTTTGCCAGCACAATAACCCCAGAAGCAAGCTACCTCCACCCAGCCTCTGGATTAAACCTAACTGTAGACCCACAAATTCCTTAATTTAATCCTCATAATTAGTTGAAGAAGAAACTGAGGTATCAAGAGGTTAATTTCCCAAGGTAATTGGGAAGTAGAACAAGGTAAAGATTCCATTCTACCAGGTCTTACACATTTTGGAACACCCCCAAATACTTTCTGGGATGGGAGGGGGGAGGAGGCTTAGGGGAAGCACTCCCCTAAACCTGTCACTTACCCCAGTGCTGCTTGGCCCTGTTCACCAGGTAGGGTCTCATTTGGATGAGGCGGGTGGCATAAATGTGGGCATACTGCCGGTTAAAGGTGCGCTCCCCGAGTCGGAAGGGCTGAGAGGAGTTGGTGTAAGTGGCCACAGGAACACGAGCAAAGGTGGCGTTGTTGGCTGATGGCGGGGACAGCAGAGTGTGAGCCCTCTGCGCAGCCTGCTCGGAAAACATGGCGGTGCTGGTTGTGTGCAGAACCCTGTGGCCAGGCCAGGGAGGCAGTGGTTACTATGAGGACATAAATGCATTCTTGCAACACCTGCCCACCCCACAGCAGCGTCTTTCCTCCTGTGTCTGTCTGTACCTAACGGATCACAGTGCACACCACACACTAGGAAAGCAGGGGCAGAGCTGGAGCCCACACCACATGGGAGTCAAAACCATACTGGAACTCGTCTGTGCCGGATACTAAAGTCTCGCCATAGCCCTCATCCAAAAAGGGAGAAAAAGAAAAGCAAGGGAGGTTTCTTTCAGCAGCCTTCTCCTATCTAACTCAGGTGCCCACTGACTGCTCCACAGCTGGGTCCAATTTCACACACCCTAACTGGAAATCCTCATCTGGCCCCATACAGTCCCCCAGCACCAGCTCCATCTCAGGATGGAAGGCAGCCTTATTACCACATAGTTCTACCTTTTAAAAGCGAGCCTATGACTACATAATAAAAATAAAGCAAAATGTAAATCAAAACTCCAAATATCTCACCGACTACAAACTGGAGTCCTTACAGTGGCCAGGAAGACCTGCCCTCACCGTCCCCCTCCACACCATGCACGTGCTGGCTCATCCCAGGCCAAATTTCACCGTTTCCCATCACTGTCTGACTTTTAACTGCACTTTCCTCCGCGTGCCTGCTTCTCCAATTTTTATTTTTCACAGCATTTACCTTCCAGCAAAAGGCATATTTTAAGTTTGGTGTCTTGCTCCCAAGGGCACACCAGCTGCAGAGCGCTACCTGTGGCTGCCAGGGTTGAAAGCCCAGCGAGTGAGGGTGGGCCCATCCGCAGGGATTCGAGTCTGCGGTCCAGGGTCAGTACCCTGGGGGGTGGGAGGTCAGGGATCGCCTCACACACGTGATGGAATGATAGCAGCTTGCAAGTAACGTGTTAAATAAGAACTACGCTGAAACAGGCATCTCCTTTTTTCTTTCACCTTTTAGTATAGGTGTTAACAGGTCAGATCTCGCAGGTGGGGCGTATCCTGTTTCTGTCGCACAACAGTGGGTTGGGACCGGGTTCACTGTCGCCCCAAGTGCAGTGTGGGGCCCTCGGCTCCGCCCCGCTCTCCAGGCAAGCTCGGTGAGGACAGCGGTGACCCTGTCTAGATTCCACAGACACCGTCCACCCGCTGCACCCAGTCCCGACCCCCGGGACACCGGAACCTCCTCACCTACATTAGTGCCACACCGTACTCAGCCGTATCCCGCCAACCTGGGCCCCAAGCATCCCGCCAATCCGCGCGCCTCGCCCCGCCCATCGCCGCTTTTCACCAATCCGCGCGCTCACCCCCTGTGGCCACATTCCGCCAATCGCCGCTCTCTTTGCTCCGTCCATCACAACCTGGCCCGCTCACCGCCACGCGCCACATCCTTGCGCGCCGCCCCGCCCAAGGCCGCGCGTCCGGCCCGCGCACGCTATGCTTGGGCGGAGCCACGCCTCCGTTCCCTAGGCAACGGGGGAGGAGTCGGCCGCTCTGAGGACCCTGGTCTGTGCTTGAGAGCAAAGGACGTGGGCTGTCCTGGTGCTCTGCTGCTGCACTCGCCTGGCGTCTCGGGTAGTTGCAACTCGCCTACCCCAAGGCCAGGCAGGGCGCCTGGCTTTGCGGGGTACGCTACTGCCGACGGCGCACAGTGGGAGGATTGACGCGGAAGGCTGCATAACCCGAGGGAAGGAAAGACCGGTGTGAACGAGACCCGCGAGCAGGGGTGGGCATTGGAGGCCAGACCGCGGTGGTCCTAAGTTCAGTCTGCTTCAGGGAAACTGGTGCACTTGTGAGGTCTCCCGACAGGACCAAGGCCCTGCACAACCTCCACTCAACTCTCTTTTGAGCGTCCTCCCTCCCGGCCTGTAGTCCACACTCCTTCCTAACCACTAAACTTTGCAGGTTCCGACCCCAGCTCTGGACAGTCTCTTTCACTTCACTAAGTCACAGAAGTCCTAAACGATTCCGAGTGGTCCTTCTCCATGCAACTCTCTTCTGTGCCCCACCCCCAGGCTGACATTTTATGTGGGCTGTCTGCTCATTTACCCGACATGTTTCCTATAAGCCAGATCTGCTATCTACAACAAAGTGCATAAAAAGAGTGGGACACATAAAAACGCATATTACCAACCTGCCTGTATTTTAAGTTCTTCATACATACTAATTCATCTAATCCTCAACTCTTTGAAAGGAGCTATTCTTCCACTTTATGGATGAGGAAACTAAGGTACAGAGAGGTCACACAGCTAGTAACAGCTAAAATTCACACCATAGCATGCTGATTCAGCCTGCAGCGTTTTGAGTGTTGCATCTCCACATGAACAAGTGAATCCTCCCCTCTCCCAGGTCAGCTGAAACATACAACCGATTACTCGCCATTCTGCCCCAGCCATTTAATAAGACTGTCAAACATCTATGCAGTACAGACTGAGTTGGGTAAGTCTGCCTTCAGAGAATATTTGGGAAGCTACTCTAGTTCGCTTACTACAGCCCCTGGCCAATGGTAGACTCCCACTTCAGTCTATACTGGTTGAATGAATACTTGGTGGGAGGGCAGGCAGTGTGCTATCTGCCTTATGAGCAACAAGTAAACCTGACGCTGTGTCAGGCACACAGATGGAGCAGATGACGGCTTCTACCCTAAACAACAGTCATAGTAGGAGTAATGGTGGCTACTGCAGGGCAGGCACAGTCAGCTGGGTGTACTCCCATGTGGTGTAGGCCCTGGGACGTGCCAACATTACACCCTTTTCACCCCCTTACTGGCTAAAGAGATGAAAAGACTAGGTGCTCACTTTCTCTGCCCTCTCTGGCAACCAAGCTTAGTGATGAGTCAATTCTGGCAGACACAAGATGGAGGTTTGGACTTCTGAAAATCTGCCTTTGTAATAAGGGAGGGGCACAGCCGGCTGTCCCTCCTTCTTTCTGTCTTGAATACGGTAGGTGGCAGTCCTGCATCCATGGAAAGAGCCCAGATATACCAACTCAGAAACTGTAGCCTCAGGCCAATTGCTAACTTCTTATGTTATGGTAAAACATGAACCACTTCATTTTCTCTGGGTGTTCTCAGTGTGAAATCAAAGATGTTCTTTAATGAAACATCTAGATATATAAATGGGCAAAATGGTGTGACCCAAAGACTTAACAAAAGTGGTGCCTTTGGGGGGGGTCCTTTAAAATAGGTACATGTTTGCATTGACAGCAAAGGTTGGATGAGTGTCATTATAGGGAGAGGACCCTCTATGAGGCTCACAAGCATACTTTTATTAAAAAATATTTATTGTGGTAAAACTGTAGTAGTGTTTTGTATACAGAAGTCTAAGCACTGCGATTCAATGCAGGATTCAACTGTACTGTATTGTGAGCCTCACATTCAAGCCATGAGTCCTCATTTTGTGCCCTCATATATGTAATTCTCCCAAAATGCAGCCTCCTTCCTGGATGCAACTTGGGAACCCTACTGTTGGCAACCCTAACGCTGGCATGTACCCAAGTCAACAGCTGTAGGGGGGTCTGCCCACAGCCACTCCCCCCTCTTCTTGTGGGCTGTATTGCCATCATTATTTTTTTTTTTTTTTAGGAATGTATATATAGAGCTATTTCTTTTTACATCATTGTTTACTTTTGTACAATGTATGCTTGTATGCTTTCTTCTTTTAGGTGTATTCCCCATAAAATTCCCACCACCAATTCACCTGTGAACCATCACCATAGTCCAGTGTGTTCTTCTCTACTCTGTTTTGGTCCCTCTTCCTCCCCCTCCCTTGAAGAATGTCTCTAACTGATGGTTGCCTGATAATTTTTTTAAATTAATTGTTATTATTGTTATATATTTTTTCCTGACCCCTCATTTGGTTCCCCTTTATTCCTCTTATAAGTGAAACCATTTGATATTTTTCTTTTTCCTCTGGCTTATCTCACTTTACATAGTCCCTTCTTGCTCCATTCACGTTGCTGTGAATGGCATGAGTTTATCTTTTTTTTTTT